CTAAGGAGATTACGGGAAGTGTTAACTCAATGCGGGTTCAGCCCATGTTGAGAGATAGAATCCGGCGGGAACCATCTTTCGATCAATTTATTCGAAAGATAAAAGAAAAAGTTCAGGCTGGAGGAGTAGAGGGTTCTTACCGAGGCACAAATGGAGCCTTGGAGCTTAGAGGCAGAATTGTTGTGCTGAAAGTCGAGGCCTTGCGAAAAGAGATCTTGACAGAAGCACACAGTGCACCATATTTAGCTCACCCAGGAAGCACCAAAATGTATCATGACTTGAAAAAGTCATTTTGGTGGAGAGGAATGAAGAAAGATGTAGCAGACTTTGTAAAGAAGTGTTTGGTCTGTCAACAAGTTAAAGCTGAGCACAGGAGTCCATTAGGTCTGTTGCAGCCACTTAAGATTCCTAAGTGGAAGTGGGAAGAAGTTACCATGGACTTTGTTACAGGGCTACCTAAGTCATCAGAACAACATGATGCAATTCGGGTAGTAGTGGACAGATTGACGAAAGTCGCACGTTTTATGCCTTTGACAATGACCATGTCGATGGATAAGTTAGCTGAAATATATACCCGTGGAATTATTCGACTCCACGGAGTGCCAGTTACAATTATATCTGGTCGAGATCCCAGATTCAACAGTAGATTTTGGGAGAGTTTGCATGAGGCAATGGGCACGCAGTTAAGTTTTAGTTCGGCTTATCATCCAGAGACAGATGGCCAGTCCGAAAGGATGATCCAGACACTCGAGGATATGCTCAGAGCTTGTATTCTGGATAGAGGTGCCAAGTGGGAGAAATGGTTGCCATTAGTAGAGTTCGCCTACAACAACAGCTACCATGCCTTGATTCAGATGGCTCCTTACGAAGCACTTTATGGCCACAAGTGTCGTTTGCCCCTTTATTGGGACGATGTTGGAGAGAGGCGAGTACTTGGTCCGAAGATGATCGAGGAAACAGTTGAGCAAGTGGCCTGGATTCGAGAAAGATTCAAGACTGCTCAGAGTCGGCAAAAGTCTTCAGCTAATAAGCATAGACGAGAAATGTATTTTGAGGTAGGAGATAAAGTCTTCCTGAAAGTTCAACCAATGCGAGGTGTCATTCATTTCGGGAAGGAAGGTAAGTTGCATCCTCGTTATATAGGTCCGTTCGAAGTTCTTGAGCGAGTAAGAGAAGTATCCTATTGATTAGCTTTACCTCCCGAGTTCTCCAGTGTGCATAATGTATTTCACGTATCGATGTTAGTGCATACGTGTGCGATCCAGATCATGTGCTTCAGCACAATGAGATTCAGATTCAGCTAGATTTAACTTACGAGGAGTAGCCTATAGCAGTTTTGGACCGAAAGGTTCATAGGCTCAGGAAGCGAGATATTCCCCTCGTTCGTATCAGATGGAATCGCCACAGCGAATCAGATGCCACTTGGGAGCGAGAAGCTGATATTAGAGCTCATTTTCCAGATTTCGAGTTTTGATATGTACTGAGATAGTCATAGTATGTATCCTAGTTTAAGTATTTCCGAGGGCGAAAATAGTTTTAAGGGGGTGAGATTGTAATATCCCTTTCAGTTATGAATAAAAGTATCAGTTTAAATTCTAAGATTGAGCTATTTTGAGGTTAAAAAGTTCAAAATTTTAAGTTTTTCAAGTCACACGAGCTGTGTGACAAGCCACACGAGTCGTGTGATATCACACGAGTCGTGTGGCAAGTCATACAAGTCGTGTGGATCAACACCGACAAAAAGCTAGCCTCGGCATTTTCACACGAGTCGTGTGACTCAAGTCACACGAGTCGTGTGACAAGTTACACGACCCATGTGACCGACAAAAAATTCAGATTTTCATGATTCGAGTTTGGTGCCAACTATAGTTCATTTTGAGCAAATAAATTAAGTATTGATGATATTTACAAGTTAGGAATTGATATGTTTATGTTGACTAATTCTTATAAGTTTTGATTTGTTTATTTTGTTAATTTCTTCACTTCATTATAATTTATTCAAATTTTGTGCCTATAAATAGAGGCTCTAAATTCAGATTTTTCACCAAGAAAAATTATCAAGAGTTATATAAGTTCATTTGAGAGATTAAGTGGTAGAAATTCTTGTAAAGTGAGGAATTTTGAAGTGAAGAATCAAGTTTCAAGTTCTAGCAAAAAGGAGGTAATTTACTTATCTTATCTTATACTTGTTAAATGAGTTAATGGTTATTAGTATATATACTAATAATTTTGAAGTTGAGATTATAATTGATTTTAAGGAGTTAAACTTGTTTTAAGATCAATTATATGATATATGTGCTTGTTTTAATTATATTCATGAGAATAAGAATTAAGTATTTAGCTTGAGATATAGATTTTTAAAGTTGAGCATGCAATTGAGTTTCATGATTTTAAATTGAGAATGAATGAATTATAAAATTTAGATTTTATACATGTTAAGTTAACATGATATGTTATCATATTCGAAGAAGAAAGGTGGGGACCCAGCCTGGGTATTACATTGAGTATAATAGCTATTATCATGTCAAAGGTATGTATATGACTTATCCGCTTCGGGTGGAGGCAAGTTGCCTTAATATACCATCCTAAATTCTGGTGGAGGCTAGTTGCCTTAATATGCCATCAGAGTGTGCACATGGTTACCGGCCAGAGTGTCCGGGAGATTCAGTTTAGTTACCGGCCAAAGTGTCTAGGAGATTACAATTTACTTATATATCCCTGCGATCATGATATTGATATTATTATTAATGTTTACTTTAGTATGAATTTATACGGATTACAGTGGATTAGTACTCACGCCCCACTATTATCATTTTCAGGTACCAGGGTCGGTGCAGGGGTGTGAGATCAGCTATGGTAGTGTGGATCGTGAACTTGTCCAATTACAGTTTGTTGACTTTTAATAAAATTTATGTTTGTATAATTATGCCATGTTTTTAAGATTTCCGCTACGTCTTTCAGATTCGAACATGTGTGACAGTATTTTCAGACTTAAATAATTTATCTGTTTGTCAGTATGAACAGGTGCAGTTTACATACTTGTTCGATATTTAAAATATGTTTTGCTTATGTCTAAACTAGTTGCTAGACCAAGTTCTAAGGAAACAGATTTTCTAAAGCAGATAAGTTTTAGTAGCATCCCGAGTAAAGTTAAAAGGATTCAAAAAATTTATGAGCATTTTCGAAATATGTTGCGAAAAATTTACTCTGATAAAGCGGGGTGTTACAACGTTACCCTGCTTGGATTTCGGCATGATAAAAAGAATTTGGTGTCTCACAGGTATGGAATGTTAGAACATTTTGGAGAAGGAAAATAAATCAGATCATTTGATGAGAGACACAAAAAGTGGTAAGGAGATATAGGGAACCGAAATTGCGGTTATCGAGATAGGTGATAGGACGTTTCAGCTCAAGATTTGAATTTCAAATAAAAGAAAACCGTTCGACACTTAATGCACAAGAAACTGTTCCCTCCACAACGATTTCTTACCAATTTAATTAACACAACTACCATATATAAAGTATGAAGTTTCAGACGAAAATATCATCTAAATCATGTACCAAAAATAAGTTTAAGCACAAGATCGAAATAAAATATATCACAAAAAAAAACTTAATGCACATGCCTAAATAAGATATTTAACACGCAATACCCTAGAATTTTCAATTCACGCAATATTGAAAGAATCCATTAATTGATTAATCTACAAGTCTTTCTAAATCAATTTGAGACAAGCTCGACACTATCAAAGATGGGGAGAAAATAAATTCTTTTCGTGCACTCAGCCCTTATTACTCCATCTTTTATAAACCACGGAATTAATATGAGTTCATTCATCACTTTCTCTTAGCAAAAAATGAAATTTTCTTTCGCAATTCAGCCGCAATACTAATGATGAACTTACTTCATTCTTTGAACTTCCACACCAATTCACTTACTAACATTAACTATACGCCAATGTCAAGCCCATTACTTAAGGTATGAATCATCCCGGAAAAAGCTTTAGTTCTGAACAAGCTGTGAAGATATCAGGATGGCCAACCTTATTTCCCCAAGGAACGTTCATTTTTAGAAAGTTTACTTGTAGCTATCACACCTCGATTATTGTTTAAGCACGTAACTCGTTTCACAGGTGATCATGGAAACACCTCATGTGATAGTTGCCCGATGCGCATTTTCACGAGAGCAGCTCTTACAAGTATGTTAAAATGATCATCATGACGAGCTCCCACAAACTGATAAGTTGGAATTCACATACTACCAATTAACAAATCCAACAATAATAGTTCAGAGAAAAATTCCAGGGATGAACCTACATACTATAATGCCTAAAATGCAAAACAGATCCTATATGCAATATACACGATATATATATAAATGCGACTGACACAAATGCATATATATTATATAGCACACATTCCTAAACATTTTCTTAGTAACAAAAATCGTTTCGAATCAAGGGCATTTGTAAAAATATCAGCAAGCTGATCGTCCGTATGTATATGATCCAACACGATAATTCCATCTTTTACCAAATTACGAATAAAATGATAGCGAATGTCAATATGCTTGGTACGTGAATGTTGGAGAGGATTTTTCGAATATTTATAGTACTAGTGTTGTCACAGAAGAGTTGAGTCGAATGAACGTTCCTACCATACTCGGATAAGATTTGTTTCATCCATACCAACTGTGAATAGCACATTCCAGCAGCAATGTACTCAGCTTCAGCAGTAGAAAGGGAGATGCAGTTTTGTTTCTTACAGAACCAAGATACCAAGTTTGACCTGTTGGAACCCATATGAGGATCTCGATATGCACAAATCACGGACAAACATTCAACA